CCATGCCTGTAAGGCCTTATTTGGTCTGATTCTGCCAAATTCCTCCAGCCTAATCTCTCACCAGGCTTCCCTTTTCACTGTCTTTTTAACCTCCCTCCAACCTCCTTTTGCTCCCCACTCTTCCCTCCTGCTCCCCCCGCCCCTCACCCCTGCCCTCCATCCTCCCTGCAGGACTTTCACAAAGGCTGTTCCTCTGCTTGAAATGCTCCCTGTGTCTCCCAGTTAGCCCCAGCTAATTTTTTACATCTCAGTTGTAGTGTTCCCTCCTCAGAGAAACCTTCCCCACCCTCCCTGACCTTGTCAGTCCCCCCCATCGTCCCCCAGACTCCTCCCTTCTCCTCCCCAGCATGAGCAAGGTTGTGGCTTTCCTTTTGTTTGAGACGTGATATGATTAAAGACTGTCAGCTCCATGAGGGTAGGGTTGTGTCTGCTTCTGCTCACCATTGCTCCCTGCTATCCAGCTGGGCGCCTCGTATACAGTAGGTGTTCTATTAAGGACTTGCTGACTGCTGCTCGGGGAGAGAGAGCCAGCACATGCAACGTAATTGGGAGAGAGGCTGGGAGCCCTGCTTCACTCAGAGGTGAGAGCTGAGCGGTGGGGGTAGGTGGTGTTCCTGGAGAAGAATGGAGCCGTGAGGCAAGAACAGGGCAAGGCTCCTCCCCAGAACACCTGAGAGCATGCCAGGGCCCTCTGCCCACCCCACGGTGACTAGGGCAGGAGCCAGCCTGGGTCCTGCTGGCTGGAGAGGCTCCTGGGGCCAACCACTCCCACTCGGGCCCACTGGGGCTGAGCTAAGTGGAAACAAATGTTCCCTGGCTTTCCCCCAGCCCAGTCGTGGTGGGCGAGCAGCAGCCCCTCCCTCCTCAGCCCTTGTTCCCTGCCCCCTCGTTCGCCCTCTCCCCCACCCCGCATTTCTTTCTCCCTGGGCTGATGGGGAGACTGGGGACATGGACAGGCTTGAGAGATGTGCAAGACCTGAGGCAGGTGGGCTCTGTGGGGAACCGGGGCCTGGGGTGGGGGATTCCCTTGGACAAAGGCCCAGAGGACGTGTCTCAGGTAACTCAGCCCCAGGCCACGAGGCAGGGATAAGACTCTGGCTAAAGCTGGGAACCTTCTGGCTGGAAAGGGCATCCTCATGACTTCTCGAGGGTTGAGGGGAGCTGGAGTAGCGCTGTCTGGGGTATAGAAGGCAGAGCAAAACGAGTCTCCTCCTCTCTCCTCTCTCTCTCTATCTTTCCCTTCCCTCCATCCCTCTATGGGCTTGGCCTTTCCTCTCTCTGTTCTCCTGGGACCCAGAAACCCAGGGCTCTTAGGAATTCTCAAGGCCTGTCCCCTCCCTGAAGGGATAGGAGTTAGGTCCCATTGCTGGGGACAGAGGGAGGAAGAAAGGAGAGTAGGGAGGGAGGAGAGAGGGAGGTTATTGGGAGGGGAAGGGTCACAGTCCCGAATTCCTGGGCTCCTGCAGCTTCAGTCATTCTGAGAAACAAAAAAACAGAGAAAGTGATTTAGAGACAGACAAATAGAGACCGAATTATGGACATGGGAGAGACGTGAAAAGACAGAAAGACAGCAAGAGAGAATCCGGCAGAGACGGAGGGCTCTGCTCTCGCCCCAAGCGATTCTGATGTTATCTCTCTCCAGCTGCCTCTCCCCTCCTCAGTCCCCACCTCTGCCCCTCCTTCCTCCTCAGCCTCACGGCCAGACACCCATGTCTCTCCTTGTCTGTCTCTGTTTTGCACCGGGGCCTAGAAGTGGTGTTTATGGGTTCCCAGGACTTAAGGCGGAGCGATGCAGGAAGGGGTGGGGGAGCCCACTGCCCAGAGGGCAGAGAGTGGGGTCAGATTTGCACCTCCCCATTCATGCTGGGCCACTGTCTTCCCACTCCAACCTCTTGCAAATGTTCCTCTGCACACATGTCAGTGCAGAGGTTGTGTGTGTGTGTGTATGTGTGTGTGCATACACATGTGTGTGATTTCCAGGGAGGCAGTCATGTGTCTCAGCCTGAGCCAGCCATCTGTGTGTCTGTCCATACCTGTGAGTGAAAGTTTCCCAGCATTATCCAGGTGAGACCAGGGTGTCCTGTGTTTTCTGTGGGCTTAACTGAAAGCCTGTGTCCAGCTGTTGGTGTGTGTGAGTGTGCATGTGTCTGCACACATCTTGATCTCTCTTTGTGTGCCATGGTCTGTATCTCCCGGGCCCCCAGCCCTGCTCCTTGGTAAGTCTTCTAAGGTGATAATAGTGGGTTGAAGCCTTAGGAACATCTGAGCTCAACTCTCAAAGGTTTAGAAGACATAAGGACAGGAGTCCTTGCTCTGGCTCTACCCAGATGTCAGCCAACCCCTAGGTGAGGATGCAGAGAGGACCAAGGGGTGTGGGCAGAAGCAAGTTGCCCTTGGAACCCAAGCCCTAGGAATTGGGGCTTCAGGATCCTGCCCAACACACACTCTAGCCCACCCCTCCCTTGTCCCAGTGCTCTGCAGGCACTACTGGGCCAACTGATTGTGGAATGAGACTCTTTGGGGGAAGAATGAAGGCTTGGGGAGTCCAGGGATGGCAAAAGACTCTGCAAGATCTGGCCAGAGCGAGTGCTGCAGGAGGGGTGGGGCGAGCTGTGTGTGTTTGTAGGAAAGGTGGGGGTGGGGGCAGAAAGGCCGCCTGCGGGGGAGAAGGCTTCTTGGCAAACGCCCCAGTTTCCTGAGCTGATCCCTGCTCCCTGCCACTGCTCCCAATTCTGTTGTTTCAATAACATCATTTTTATCCACCCCACAGAGACACAGTGTCTTAGGAGGGGGAGGCGAGGGGCAGGGCTAGGGCATGGGGGAGGGGTGGTAATAGAGAGAGGTTAGGGTTTAGAGGCAACAGGGACAAGATTTGGGGCGCTCCCTCCTCAGGCAGAGGCAGGGCGGTCCCAGAGCCCAGGTCCCCTGATGACAAAGACAAATACATTAAAATTCTTGCCTTGGAGAAGAATGCAGGATAGGGAGAGCATTTCATAATCTGCAATAACAGTAGCAGGGTGGGGCAGGGGTGGGCAAGGGGTTCAGAACCCAGGCAGTGGCTCCCAGGAGGCTGGTCATCGGCCACCTGCAGCCTCCAGGCACCCCCAGAGCCCTCCAGCTGCCCATTTGGCACCATATGGCCCGAGTGCATGCCCAACCTGGGTATGTCTTTGAATGTGCAGTGTCCAAAGTTGGCACCATCCTGCAGAAACAGCAACTGTGTACAAAATTACTAGGTGCAGGGCTGTGTGTGGCATTTGGACACTGTTAAAGGCTAAAGTGGGAGAGGAGGACACTTGGAACAGGACCCCTCACTATCTCTCTCAGCCACAGCAACCCCTCCCCTTCTCTAGGGTGCCCCAGGCCCTTCACCCGAACTCTCTGTACCCAGTACAAGGGATCGAACTGAAAGAGCCTGGATACCAGGGCCCTCAGGTGGGGCTCCCAGAAAATCCAGGGGCTTTCTCATGTGCCCAGGCCAACGCTTCCCTAGTTCTCTGGTCTCTGCTTGCTCATCCTTCCTTCCCCAGATTCACTTCTTCCCCTGGGGTCGCCTCCACCTGTCCCCCGGCCTCATCTTGATCCACTTGTCCCCACCTCCTGGAGGCGTCAGGATCTTGTCTTCTCTCTGCTCACCAGGGGTGTTTGTCTCTCTTGGTAGTGACATCGGTCCCCACGTTCAGGTGTTCCCCGACCCTCAAAGGACCACGAGCTTTCTTCTGGGTGCCTGAAGTTTCTGCCACATAGACTTCAGGTTCTGGCTCTGCCCTCCCCACTCCAGGACTTCCTTAAAGGTTGATGCAAGCTTTAGATGGTGGTGGTAGGGAGACTGGCCCTAGCTTCCGAATGTCCCACACCACCTGTCCCTCAGGACCCCTGGGGCACGTCGTTGGGGCCTCTGCCCGCTGCCAGCCACTTGGCGTGATGAATGGAGCTGTCCCTCCTCCCCATGGGGCCTTTGATCTCCCCCCCCCCGTGGGGAGGGGGCCAGGGGCATCAAAGACATTTTTGTGGCATTAGAAAATCAGATAAAGCCATCTCACCTGCAGCTGGCTCTCCCACCCCTTCTGCCGGGGCCAAGTTGGGGGAGGAACTCGAGGAGGGACTCGTGGACACGCGAGGCCCAACTGCAGCGAGTTCTGACCCCTCAATCTCTTGCAAGTTTGCAACCTCCGCCGTCCCGCTCACTGACACGTGCGAGCAGCGCTGGAGCGCAGGCCCTTGAGAGGCTCCTCTTGCTGTCTAATCTCCCCCCTCCCCGCCTCGCGAACGTGGGCTCAAAGAGGAGGGACCGCTGGGGAGCGAGAGCGGAGGCCTAGGGCTTCCTCCCTCAGGCTGAGGAAGGCGTGCGGCACGGAGGTGGGACGCGGTAAGAGGTGACTAACTACTCCAGGGTCCGCCAGTCGGACAGTGGAGTTTGACACCCCTCACCAGAGCACCCTGCGCCCCAGGCCAACTTCCTCTCCCGGCCCCCGCGCCAGCATCTCCCTCCGCACCCCCCCCAACTCCCTCATTCCTGGGAAGTTTTCTCTCTTTACAGTCAACAAACCTGTCAAACGTCTCCCTTCCAGCCCGTCCCCCATTCCTCGGCTTCTCTTCCTCTCCTCCACCCCCCCATCCTTGTTCCCTCTTCTTCCCCGCCCTTCCTTGCCCGGACTCCGGGAGGCCGGGGGCGGCGGGGGTTCGCAGTCCCGGAGAGGCGAGAGGTGAGGGGGCGAGGCGAGGGGCGAGGCGGGCGGGTCCCGCAGCCACGAGCGCTCGGGCCCCGCCCCGGCACCCCGCTCCCGCCCTCCGCTGCGCTGCGCGCCCGCCGCCCCGGGGCGCACGGCTAGCTCCCGAGAGTCCAGCCGTCTGACTGTCGCAACTGCCACCCCTTTGCCCCCCGCCCCCGCC